TGGGCGTGGGTCTCTGCTTCACACCGACAAAAGACATAGGAGGGGTCAGAAGGGATGAACCACAACCTGTCCCGAGTTTTAAGTTTACCCATGACCGTCAGCCATAGTATAAAACTGTATTTAGGCAGGGACCACTGCTCCCAGACAACTCGGCCCCATGAGACTGTTGAACCAACTGGTCTGAAAAAATCATAGGCATGTGCTAGAAAGGGTCCTGCAGAGGTGAACCAGTTTCTCATCAAGGATACACACTCCACCTCGGAGCCCCCACATTGTTGAAGGATAACATCCCGAACAGTGATGATGGCTTTCCACAACGGGGAGGAAGAGTGTTCCACCTGGACAGACCAAATGGAGCCTCTACTCAAGTAAAAATGGTGTATCCACCGAATCCAAACCGAGTCTGTTTTAAGATGAATATGCCACAGTTGCTTACTAAGAAAGCTTCTATTGCGGGCACAAAGATCGAACAATCCCAGACCACCCTCCGTTTTAGGAAAGCAAACTGTCTTCCAGGCAACAAGGGTAGAGGATCCACGACAGGCATCGCCCGTCCACAGGAAATTTCTGCATATATTAATAATTTGCTTCATCACAATTGCAGGGATAGGGAAGATGTTCAACCAGAACTGGACTTTCCCAAATAAAACAGATCGGAGGAGCTCTAAACGCCCAGCATATGTAAGATATTTGCCAATCCAGCCCTGGACAGAAGACTTCAAATCAAGTAGGAGAGGTGAGAATTGGCTGGCTAGCAGCCTATGGGGGCTCAGAGGAACGCCCAGATATGTGAAAGGAAAGCTGCCTTCTTTGAAGCCCGACATAGATAGAATAGCTTGCTTTTGGGCATTGCCAACGCCCCCAAAGAAAATGGAGGATTTCTGCGGGTTTATATCCAAACCTGATATGTTGCCAAAAAGGGAAAGTTGGCTGAGGAGGCATTGAACTGAAGAGAAGTCACCACGAGAGAGGAGCAGAACGTCATCAACAAATGCAAGGTGGCTGATACCTTGCAACTCACACTTGGGATGAAAGCGAAAGCCCTCTTGTTGGGTAGCCAGCTTGAGCATTCTGGAGAAATACTCCATACAGCAGATGAAAATGTATGGGGATAAGGGGTCCCCCTGTCTAACTCCACTTTTCCCCAAGAAGAACCCATGAATGTTGCCGTTAACTGCAACAGAGAAGGAAACGGTGGACACACATTGCATAACAAGCATCACAAATTTAGATGGGAAGCCAAGTTGGCAGAGAAGGTTTTCTATAAATTCCCACTGGACAGAGTCAAATGCTTTTTTAAATTCTACTTTCAACAGACAACGTGGAGATGATCTCTTCCTGCCATACTGACGGAGGAGCTCCTGCACAAGATTAATATTGTCACTCATAAACCTGCCTCCTAAGAATGCATTCTGCATGGGACTTACAATCTCCTTTAGAACGTGAGCAAGACGACCAGCTAGGATCTTGGCAATCACTTTGTAGACAACATTACAGCAAGATATAGGCCTGAAATCTGCTGGAGAGGAGGCATTCACTGACTTGGGGACCAAAGAAATAACAGAATGGTTAACCTACTTAAGGAGCCTGCCCGAATGGAAAAAATCCTGCACTGCTGAACAGAAATCCCCGCCCACAACAGACCATGCTTGTTTGTAGAAAAAGGAGTAGCCATCAGGCCCCGGGGCTTTGTCATTACCAATACTGAAGACTGCCTTGCGTATGTCCTCATGAGACACCGGAGATAGGAGGAAGTCATGGGAACTGGAAGGAAGATAAGGGCCACAGCTAATAACTGCACTGTCAAGGGGAGTGGTGAATTTGGTTGTACCTAATAGGCTCTGGTAGTAGGCCACGAATTCATCCCCTACCTGCTGCAGAGAGGTACTAAGACCACCATGGTTACACATAACTGCAGAGATGAAGTTCCTCCTATGATTCTGGCCCATGAGAGCATGAAAAAACTTAGAGCCTCTGTCACTGTGTTGAAGAAAGGTGTATTTGATCTTCTGCCCGTAGAATTGTTTCTCCGCCAATTTTAGAGTGGATAGTTTGGAGCGGAGGAGACCGTCTTGGGCATGCAAAAGTTGGTTATCCATGTCTTGGTGTAAAGCATATTGATGCTGCTCCAGCTCAGATTCAAGACGGGACACACGTTCAGATATATGACTGAAATGAAGACGGTTTAGCTCCTTCAAGTGCACTTTTAAAAGTTTGAGACGGCGACATAAAATGTACATGGGTGTGCCATACGTAGGGGAGAACCAATGGGAAGAAACCAACGACAAGAAGTGGTCATGGAATGTCCACATGTTGAAAAATTTAAAGCTACGCCTACCCTGCACCAAGGGACCCAAACGGACTGCTGCAGGAGAATGATCGGTGAATGCTCCAGGAGGACCAAAATGAACGTGAGTGAGATAGTTCAAGGAAGACCATGAAGGGTTGGTCATAACCCGATCAAGCTTGCTCCAAACGGAGCCATTTGTCCAGCTAAAGTGACAGCCAGTAAAGTTTACATCATGCAAACCAAGATCAAAACAACAATCACGAAAGTCAGAGATTTCATATGATGAAACAGCCTCACCATTGTGTTTATCTGCCGAGGATAGCACTGAATTAAAGTCTCCAAGAACCATCCAGGGAGAGTTTGAATTCCATCGCCTTAGCTCCCCCCACAGGGATCTTCTAGCAGAAATGGTATTAAAACCATAGACAAAAGTAAGCTTGAAACTAAGCTGAGTTATCAAACTGGTCACAGAAAAGTGAATAGCTTGTGCAGTAGATGCAATGCAAACAAGATTAACCGTTGCTGGATTATAAAAAACCACAATTCTAGCAGTACCTGCTACCTCCGCATTTGTAAAATACTTCCAACGCTTGAGACGAAGTTTATGCATTGAAGCTACTCTAAAAGGAAGCAGCTTAGTTTCAAGCAAACCACATACATCCATCTTATGTTTTTTCATGAGACTCACAACCTCATGCTGTTTCAGGGGATTATTGAGTCCCCTGGTATTCCAACTGTGTATTATCATGAGAGTGCAGGGAAAGGGGAACCCTTTCCACTACGACCACGGTTCCTCTGGTTACGAGTTCTGACCCCAGGAACATCCAATGAAGGAGCTCTTTCAGTATTTCCGGCTATGACAATTTTACCAGGATCAGCCTCCAAAAGATTGTTTCTAGAAGGAGAGAGGTTGCAGTCCCCTCCAACATTTAGATGTGGCATCAACGGAGCCTCTCCAACACTAGGATGTGATAACCGGTCAGCACTAGTAGAGGGGGAGTTGTGAGCCTCACCATCACAAGAAAACACCATCAGCGGTGCAGTGGGAATAGGTGGAGGGACCTGGCCGTTTCCAACACAAGAGGTTACCACCAATGGTTCTGGCCGGGGATGTTGAACCATGTCTATGCCAACCGGAGGAGAGGGGGGGCAGGTGGGTTGTTGTCCAGCGCTGGATCAGAGCCAGCTACAGCCTTCCCCTTGCAGTGCTTGCTAGATTTTCGAGAGCCCACCATAACCCAACCAGCAGAATTTTCAAGAGCACCTTCCGGCCTAGCAGCCTCCTCTGATGCCTGTTGAATGACATTGTCTTGAGGCTGGACGGGCACCTTTGGAGGAGGAATCTGAGGTGGAGGCTGGGGCCCTAATCTGTCAAAAACATTTACCTTATCAACTCCAGCGTGAATATGAGGTTTGCTGGTAGTGGCAGCAGCCTTGGAACAAAGGAGACGGGTGTGGCCAAGAACATGGCAGAAATTGCAATATTTAGGCAGAGTCTCGTAGATCACTTTTTGCTGCAGCTTAAGACCATCTGGTAAGGAAATTTCCACTGAGTGACGAAGCTCCTCCAGAAGGTCAATCTCCACCAACACTCTTGCATAAGACATTCGAGAAAGAGTTGAAGTAAGCTGGTCACATTGAATTGGCTTGCCAATAACGCTGGCGATCTTGGAGAGACAGATAGGGGACCAGCAACACAGTGGAAGACTAGGAAATTTTACCCAGACTGGCACCCGTGACATCTCTTCACAAGAGAAATCAAAAAACTTTGTCATAGGCCTGAGAACAAGGGGCGGATGTTGCTTCTAGGACTCCGCCAGCACCTTATGAGAAATCAAAGTTTTTGGGTTCTGGGGGGAGTATGGTCGCAAGGCTGAAACTTAAAGGAATTGACGGAAGGGCACCACCAGGAGTGGAGCCTGCGGCTTAATTTGACTCAACACGGGGAAACTTACCAGGTCCAGACATAGTAAGGATTGACAGACTGA